TCAAGAAATACAGTAAGTTAACTAGGTTTTTTGGATAAATTTTGATAGAATCTCATATCACATAATAAAATCGCGCGCTGATTGGTCCGAGTTGACGAAAATGTGACGTATATAGTGAAGGATTCAGCGCGGAACGCTTCAAAGCTGAATTTAATGAAAAATCAGGGATCCCGCGCGATTGAATTTTGATTTTGTCGTATTTTCTTTTCATTTCTTTCACAAATAACAATTTAAAGTAACAAGAATAGAAGCTCTTTTCATTGAGAAACCAAAAATGATATACAGGCTTTGTTACAATATCGCTGTTCTATAAAAATGACCAATATTTGTTAGCGGATTGAAAAGCTGAATTCAATGAAAAGTCAGGAAGCCCGCGCTTTGCTGTTTTTTACTCGCTTCGCTTTTTAAGCTACTGTTATTTCACGTCCAGTTTCAAATTTTAAAAACAACCAGAGGGGGAATACGAAATACCCGCAAACTTCGAAGTCAATTTATTCAACATCGAAAAGAGCCGCAAAAAACATCTTTGCCTCTACAAGGCGACGTCGTCTCGATAAAAAACAACAACAAACGTCGGAAAACACCGCCATGGCCGAAGAAAACAACAATTATCGCTTACTACTTACCYATAAGTGCGGCCGTCGGGACTTCAACTTATCTGCCCGAGGCTGAGGGGACATTTAATCCCTAATCTCCCTCAGAGCCATGCTATTACTTTGTAATACCATGATTTCCGAGGAAAAAATTGAAGTTGAACTTGAGCGAATTTGAATTCTTGTCTTTTTGTATGCTCCAATGTTTTCAATCAGAAGTAATAAAAAACAACAAACAATTCATGCATGAATTGGAATATGACATTAAAAGAAAGGATACGTACTGTTATAAGAGTATCACTCGCCGAACAACAGTACAAAATGACATTGATAATCCGACCATTGTTACTGGTTTCCCACAACGAACTTTGTTTGAAATTGCTTTTCAGTTCTATTCAATGCTGAAGTTAACGAACCTTAACTTCAACCCCTGAAAAGTTGTTTTTATATTTGCAAGCATAATGCCAAGAGCTAGGCTTATTGAAATTCGTCAAGTGCACATGCTCAGCGGTACGAAGTAGATACTCGGAACCAGAGCTACTCGGTCCATTTGTCCCAAAAATCATCCCACATTTCAGTGTGACTGAGACGATAACCAGACCGTTCATTGCAGAGGTAAAAAGAAGACAGCTGTAGGGACATTCAGTTGACCCTACTAGGAAGCAAAGGTTTCCTTTGCCTTCCGTTCCTCATGAATAACATGAGAGACGATTAGTCTAATCGTCCCTCATGTTATTATGCATGAGGGACGATTACTGGTAATCGTCCCTCATGTTATTATTCATGAGGGAG